ATACAGACTATGTGATTAATAATTGTGCACTGAGCCTTTTTGTTGTTGTTGTTGTTGTTCTAGTGCTCCTTTGTTGAGCATACTTTTAGTATTTGCTATCAACAGTGAAACAAGAATTAAACATGACCAGTGTGTATGGGTCAGGGGGCATATTTATACTAATACCTGTTATACCTAGGAGTGCTTGAGAAGCATCTTCAGAGAGAGACATATAAAGTACCCTGGGGTTTAATGCTGGGAGAGGGTCATCATTAGGGGTGTGTCATAGAGGAGAAGGCATTGAAACTGGTGTTTCAAGGACAGAGTAGACTTTGTGTGGTGGAGGTAGAATAGAGTTATGTCCTAGGCAGAAAGAAGGTGAGCAGGTGTGAAAAAAAAACAGTGGTCTGTGGCCCTGTCCTGTCCGAGGTCTCGGGTGTCTGTGGCCCCACTGACCGGGGCACCTGGCTGGCTGTGCTATTTACGTGTTGAACTCAGGGATCCCACGGGGGCGGCGGGCAGGTGTGCCCTGCGCCCGGCCTCCCGATGGGACGGACCTTCACTCGGGATAAAGTAGATCTGCTCCGCGCAAAAAACAAAAAACAAAAAAAACCCCAAAAAACAAAAAACAGTGGTAGATGCCCTGGCCAGTGTGGCTCATTTGGTTGGGCATCATCCCATGCACCAAAAGGTTGCTGATTTGATTCCTCGTCAGGTGCATGCCTGGGTTATGGGCTGGATCCCCAGTAGGGGGATGTGCAGGAGGCAGCTGATCCATGTTTTGCTATCAAATCGATGTTTCTCTTCTCTCTCCCTCTCCCTTCTCTCTCTCTCTCAAAATCAATAGCAGTATTTTAAAAAATAATTTAAAAATAGTAAAACAAGTAAATTTCTTAAAAAAAAAAAAAAAAGAGTAGGCAGGGCTGACGTGGCTCAGTAGTTGAGCATCGACCTATGAACCAGGAGGTCACAGTTCAATTCCCTGTCAGGGCACATGCCCAGGTTGTGGGCTTGATTCCCAGTGTGGGGTGTGTAGGAGGCAGCCAATCAATGATTCTCATTATTGATGTTTCTAGCTCTCTCTTCCGCTCCCTTCTTCTCTGAAATCAATAAAAATATATTTTAAAAAGAGTGGTAGAGTACAGTAATTAATTGCCTGTTAAACTAACATTCTTAAATAAATTTCTATAGGTGTTTAAACCAGAGTGGTCACAGAAGGTCCCACTAATAGATCTTTGCTACTCAAGCCCTTTTGGATTGCTGTTTATTAGACCTTGAGCCCTGCCAAGTCTAACAGCCAATACTGTTGGCTCACCTGCCGACTTCTGAGATAAAGGATTTTATAATCTTTGGTTTTGCCCTCTGTTCCTGAAAACACACCCCATGTTCTTTCTTGACACAGACTGGTTAATAACTCTCCTTACCAAGGAT